GATGTCCTACGTGACTCGTTGCAAATTGTTCATCCCATCCCATATTCTTTTTAAATTAAGCAATATGCATTTTTATCGGGTAAAATGTTCAATTTAACCGGTCAAAATTTAAACTTACTTATGTTAGGTATACACTAATAGTGTTATTATGAGCCTTCACGAATAGATATTATCACTATCTAGGCTGTCATTGCCACGAAGCTGATATTCGATCCATTTTGAAGATAGTATAGCCGTAAAAATTAAGACCTAGACCACGTATTCTAAGGTGACAGTATTTACATGCATTTCTGTGAGCTTTGATATTCACTTATCATCAAGATGGTCATGAATTCACCTACCTCCATGAGAGCAAAAAAACATTACATTACAAAGTGAGTTTAAGTTATCTTTAAAATATTTTAATTCGACATCCTTGCAGGATCGATGCTCATTTTTTTCTTCGAAAAATCATTTTATGTTTGCATTGTTATCGCGCGTTCGGATTTACCAAGTTATGAAAAAATGTTTAGTACATGCGGAACATACGTAACACATTCGGTAAGAATGTGTCACACCTTTAATATGTACATGCATACCCTTGATTACCCAAATATGTTTTCTATGAATGCACTTATAACTAGTTCCTTTTTCGCTTATTTTCTTTTAATTCAAGGATCATCTATATATTAATACGTGAAGCAAAAATTTGTTATCCCTTTTTAAGAAAATTACGCGGACGGAGGAGTATGAAATTTTCCACACTTATAGAGAATATAGAGAAGAAGTGCACAATGCTAATATTTTTTATAGTCTAATCTTGGCGAAATTTGTGATTATAGAAGTATAAAATACAATCATAATAGTGTACAAACTTACAATTCCAATTAATTATAGTCGAATTTCGACTACCGTGGGTCCACTAGTTAATTTAATTATTTCAATAATATCCCTTGTTATATTCAATGGAATGTTTTTTTCTATCGCGTAGCCCACTGAGTTTCTCGCCGGACCTTCTCAGTAGGTCGCCTTTCTGATCCGGTGATAGAGCCTGCGAAGCACTGCTCCTGCCAGGGCCAGTGTTAGCAGCACCTCCAGGTTGAGCCACGAGAGCTGTTTTGCTATAAGATGTAGTTTTAACAGGTTTTTTATTATAATAAAATATATGTAGTGTATATGAACATTGTATTAACGCAATATAGAGTAAAAATTATAATTAAATAATTAATATGCATTACGCAGAAGATTAACACATTCCACAAATCAAGTTTATCCCTGGTTCCAAAGTTTAGTTCTGACGTCAATTATTTCGAAAATGTAACGCATAAGTGGAATAAGATTACGTTCTTGTTGAATTATAGAAATAACGCGAAATATACATAGAAATAACTGTAAATCATACGTGCCATTTAATTAAGTCAGTGTCAATACCGTAGAAAATCGTATGTGACTCTGGTCGTGTGTGCCAAGGATTTTTGTCGATTTGGAAATTTGGAGATTCTCGTGACGAACGATGGTGTTCTTGTGAACTGACAAAGGTGTGGTTCTGTTGATACTAGTTTTAGTGACGTCTTTAAGATTTCAAGAATCTTATACATCATCTATTTGTCTTTATGTTCGACATGATATATCTGTTTTGGTTCTAGGAGCTTTGAACATAAATGCATCAGAGACTAGGAGTGAGAATTGTAATCGAAAAGAAAAACAGTAGATGAGGATATATTTAAAATGTCGATTCGGATTTAAGTATTAAATTGTGGGTGGTCGATCGTTTAGTCGTCTACGAGGAAAAGTCGAGGTAGACTGCCGGTCGCCATTCTTATCAGTGAACGAATGTGCGATTCTCGTAATGACTTTTTATCAACAGGAAGCTCTGATGCAGTGCTTCGTTGTTGCGCAGGTGTTACAGCGTCACCTCGGTGCTATATTCCTTCAAGGAATCGACCGATGACGCAACTCTTCCGTTATAATGTAGGTGGTGTTCGGCGGAACTGTATCGCTGTGTGTACAGGACACCGCGGATTCTCGACGTGGCGAATAGCTTCATAAATAAGATTCGCACAGCTGCCTTACATCGGATACTGATCATGCAAATAGTTTAAGAACTTTAGTTCACATAACAGGCGTCGTGCATTTCGAGAATCGTACAAAGTAAATAAGCCCTAATTATTTCGTGGAAAAAAAATTTGATTGACAGATTTCGATATTAAGGTATGGCATAGTCAGACGTGTCATCGTTTTTCTAATCTAATGCAATTTGTGATAATTAAATCTTATATCAACCGAATAGTTTCAATGATACGCACTGTTTACGTTAACTATTATCTGAGTCAACTGTAAACAGAAGTGACTAAATTGCTGTGAGCTATGTGTTTATGACTCAAGATGAAATTTTACCCTGGAGAAATTTCAACAGATGCCAAACAAAATATGTTTCGCATCACAGACATGCCATTCGACTTAATAATCGTTTAGTATTTTAAATTGAGAAACATATTTTTTGCTTACTATTTTTCAATGTCGCAGCCCACCAGAGCCCTTGTGTTATGCTGATAGCCTTGAGAGGCTTGATCAGCGTTACCCTAGCGTGTAGGTGAGCTCTCGGGGCTCAAACCGGAGGTATTGCTAACACTGGTCCTAGCAAGACCAGTGCTTCGCAGAATCTAAAAGATCTTTTGGCGTTAAAAAAATAATGGATTTAGGCATATTATGAACCCGAACACCTGAACATGGGTAGATACCAATCAATTGATATTTCGAAGTCATAATCGTGGGTTTGGGTAGCTATTTAAAACTAGGTGGGCCGTGAACGCATCTGCCTATTTAGTGTAATACAAAAACTGTTATTGTACCTTTATATCGGAAATTTACAAATAGAAATAGTTAGAACTACGATATCTACACCAAAGAGTTTTTGCAAGGAAAAATGTACTGGAAATGCTGAGCCGGTCAGTAAATTAAGCTAGAATAATTAAATTTATCGTATTATTATCGGTTTTTTGATAACTATGCAATTTTTTGAGTGTTCAGAGGATGTCTTACGTTGAATGTTTCGGTTACATAGATACAAGTCAGTAAAAATGTGTTAATAAATACAATACAATACAATTTTAAGTGGATTTATTAAATTTTGACACCTGCTTTCTAGTAAACTTTTAAATAATAATTGATAATAAATGCGAATTGGTTTGGCAATACGCCATGCAAACATCATTTAGAGTATTTTGACCTATTCGATTTTTACGACGGCTACTAGCCTTGACGTATTTCTAATCGTAATCATGATATTAATAGTGAACCAATTAAACTAGTTGAAATCATAAACCTAGAGAACGAATAATAAACGTGCATCAATTAAATTCCTTACTCATAGAGTTTCCTTAAGTTCAGTCATAGTGTTTTAGACAATTAGGAAATGAACGCACCATTTTTTCTAAACGACGATACAAAAATTTTAAACAAAAATTTAATTGTCAAAAATTTATTTTTCTTTGGTTCTACTACATACTGTGTACATTAAATACTCATTTCTTGAGTATAATTAGTAAAACTGGACGAAAAATTTATAGAGTATCGTGAAAAGGATTCATTTTAATGATAACATTTAATAGCGCCTACCATTAATAGTGGTAATCATTAAATAACAGATGTTGCACAAATTGACGTTACGTCATTATCAAATTTATTTGGGATATCAATTACATAGTATTTTTTGTTTTTAAATCAATTATGTTTTACGTCACAGGCATGTACGTATATCTGTTTTGGGTTTATTCTAATTGTTTACTTTTCCATTAAAAATATTTAAATTAACAAGAGCTTCGTTATGTGTGACTGATTTAGTCTGTATCGTAAAAATGTTTGTATTTAAATTTAAATTAAACTTTTGTCGATTTTAGTTTTACATTAGTATTATTTTTAGATTGTCATTTCACTGCGGCAACTTGACAACTTGAAAGAAAATCTCACCATTGAAAAATAGTGCGCGTAAATTAGTAAGATTAAAATTGTAAGCAGCTTATATTCTATAAGCTATTTAAAAACCATCGTAGGTTTTCAAATTTTTTTGTTAATTTTTATTTTATGCCGAAACCATCTTCGTATTATTTCAACTGGCACTAGAGATTTAGGAAAAGAAACAAAAGAAGGTCTAAGAGATTTAGAAAAACAATAAAGTTCGGAACTTAATCTTTTTTTAATGCCGCCATAGAAATTGATATTTCTTAAGTTGTCTGAGTTGAGTTTAGCGTTTTCTATGATTTAAAATTTATGACTGTTTTTAAATGCAGTGGAAGTTTTTTTTTTTTTGTATTGAAATATATTTTTCCCTACTTAAAATGATAAGCAAAATGTTCAATTAAAATATTTCACTTTATCTTACGCTTCGTAGTGTTTTTAGTACAGAGAACATACATAACTATACTGTAACTATACTGAGACTTTAGAACTTGTATCTCAAGGTGGGTGGCGCGTCTACGTTGTAGATGTCTATGGGCTCCAGTAACCACTTAACACCAGGTGGGCTGTGAGCTCGTCCACTCATCTAAGCAAAAAAAAAAAAAAAATATTAGCACAATATATCTTAGAACAATCTGACAATGAATGACTCACAAGGCTCAAGTTTAAAAATTTCAGTCTTAATTTCGAAACGCTCTCGTCATAGCGTAAAAACCCATGAAAGGCTCCTTCACTCTCGTTATAAATCGATAATTTATAAATGCATCTACGCAATAATCGAATTATCGATTAAAAAATAAACAAGTTATAAAAGTCATCCCTTATCTACTGGGGTTTAGGCTAAATAGGCCCCTCAACATATAAAGTCGGTTTAAACTGGGTGTGAATGGGTCCCGCCCCCTGCAGCCGCCGCCCACCATTGGCCGCGTCGTGCCTACACTGGAGAGCCCCTACGTCGATTCGTCATTCCTTGCCCCCCACTGCCTTCAATGTATGACAGTGTACACTGGCCTTTATCTTACGCGCGGTCACACAAATCCATTTAGTCTCTGACACGACACGACGCGTGCGACATCGCAACATTTTGGGGGATGTCAGATGCGATCGTCAACTGTTATGGATCATACTAACATACCAGCTTGTGCTTTGTACAGACATATCGGTACTGTTATAGTAAGGCTGAAGATGGAAGTGTCAACCATGCTATGTTGGAGTCGGGATGTGTGCCCGGCGTCCGGTTGTCCGGAATCTATGCACAGGCCCTCCGGATGTGAACAATGCGCTAGGACTAGATTAAATAGCAAATGTTGTGACTGTGATAGTGTGCATGTGGATAAAAGCCGACCTTACAGATCGAGCACAGCAAGAAGTAGTAAGCAATCACTTTTAATATTACATCTATTTTCCGTGTTTCGACAGCTTTCATTTAATTGTGTTCTATCCCGAATCAAGTTGCTATCTTTTTTAAATATTTAAAATTCGTTCCAAATTAATATTGTAGCAAATAAAAATATATTCGAATTTTTTCGAATTTATACTGTTAAAGTGCTAAGCTTTTTTGAAAAACAGCTTACCGAGTTGCCATCATTCCAAAAAATCTATACTAATATTATAAAGACGAAAGATTTGTTTGTTTGTTTGTTTCGAATAGGCTCCGAAACTACTGGACCGATTTGAAAAATTCTTTTTCCATTAGAAGCCGACATTGTCCCTGATGAATATAGGCTACTTTTTTTAATTTTTTTTTTTGGTTTCATGTGTGTTTTAATGTTTCCGAAGCGAAGCGAGGGCGGGTCGCTAGTATATAATAATTTGATTATGGAACTTAAATAAGAAAACACAAAACTAAGTTCTATCTACTTATCCAAATTATTAATTAATTATAAATGTAAAATAATAAGCATTAAATTGTACTAGTATATTTGACTAGTAGGTACTATATAATAATTCTGTATTATAAACAGTACATCCGGTCGAGATTGATGTTTATCTAACTATTTGTGTTCGATACCGGCCACGTGATATATTTAATTAGCTCTCATCCTTGATATAATCGCAAAATAGGCTCGATTTCATAAAAAAAACTATCACTCAATTCTTCCTTATCGCACCTTTCACATATGCTATTTCCTCATAGGAATCTGTTTTAATGATGATGAGAATTATTTATTATAATCTTTGAATAAATAACACCCAAATGAGTATGAAATCGAGGCTACAATTACATATTTTTATTGCAAAAACATCAATAATTCTCGAGACTGAATTAAACAAGATCGATGCAGTCTTGTGTCCTTAAGCGGAAATCAACCGCACAAAATTTTGTTTTTCCGTTTAAACTAAATTTATTAAAATGGAAAATTGTATAGTTCTAAAATGTTACACTTATGTATTTTTTTTTCTTTTCTTTGATTACTCGTAATTTCGGGACAAGAAGTCAACTTCGTTCATTATAATTTTTTAAAGTATTTTTAAGGCTTAGTTACATTTTCCAAAATCAGACATACGCCTAAAAAGAAATTTGAAAATCAAATGATGTTTTTTTTAGAGTGGTAATTTTTTTTAAATTTGATCCATAATTAAAATAAAATTCCCTCTGCCGACAAAAAAGGGTTAATTATTCCAAAAATTCATAAGCAATCGAAAATTACATTTTAAAGTTGCAAATTGTAGAAAAGTTGTATGCAATTACTTTAAAAATAGGTTATATGATTTTTATGCCTAAATAATACTTTGTTATTTGGAGACAAAAAAACGGCTAAGTGTGAAATACTTCAGACAATTACAAATTTAGCACACTCAGGTAAAATAAGCTTATCGTAACTGACTTTAAAATCATAGTTATGTTTAAAAAATTCAATACTCGCTAATAGCAAATTAGTGACCACTTTAATAATTAATAAAAATAAAACATAATTTCAAAAATATAAGTTTAAAAAAAAAGTCAAAATTTACTTTTTTACGAAAAGTTTTATTTTTAGAATTTTAGGATTGTAATGAATATTTTTAATTGTTGTTTGATTCGTTTTGGAAAACCCTCAGACGTCATAAATTGTTTAATGAACACGTGAGTCATTCAAAGTAATCAGAGCATAAAAAAATTTGATTGAGAAACTGATATTAATGTCCTGGCGTATACAATACTGACACAAAACGTAACCTCTCGCAATGTTTGCTTTCATGCTGACGTACTCGTACAAGTATAGATATGGACCTTCAAAGTTTTAGGAAAAATGTTTATTTTTTTATGTCGTCTATCTAAATCGCTGCCTACTCTTTTCAAGCCGTGTCAAAAGAGACATATGAAATAGAAACGCTGAGCTAGAGGCCCTTGTAGGATTTCATGGTAGGACATACTAAAATACTGAAAATGCACTGCCCATATGTACAGGAAATGTTCATAATGTCTGCTCCGAAAACGCGACATACATATATGTACATACTAACATATTATCCAATGCTGAGTGGCAACTGCTAACCAAAACATAGATATGAAAGCATTTCTTTCATATTAAATTGCATTTGCGTTGAAAAACATGAAAATGTTTGCACATATTTCATGTTAATTCCTATAACATTGATGAGCGAATAAGTAAAAGTGTAGTTATCCCTACGAAATGTTAGTCAAGTTCTGATTGAAACCATCTAGGTAAGAGATTGGTAGCACGATATTCATGTCCGAGTCATTAAAATTTTTTACACGATAATTACCGAGATTTTCACATAAAACCATGTTAAACGAAGTAAGTCAACCGATCTAATTATGAACAGTTATGTCAGTGAGCTCGTCCCGTAATTATGGTGTTTAGCTGTCACGCATTTAGTAAGAGATGTCGAACCCGGCTTAGACTCGCTTAATTAACCCTTTTTATCAACTTAAATAAACAAGAACACAAGTCTTACATGTCGGGAAATGTTTCGAATTACAACGTCGTGTATACACGTATAGGCACTTCGTTCAAAATGATCTCTTAAAGAACAGTTACATAAAATTAATACCGTCAGTTTTTACGTTATTAAAATTAATTCGAGAAAGATTTGCGCTTGTTTTTGTTAATTTCGAAGTGGACGGGCGAAAATCGAACATCATCCTCGCAATGCTATTACCATTTAGAAAGGTTTTCAGTTAATCAAGAGTGGTATCACCGGGTGTCTCGTGATACGCGCCGCCACGCGCCTCTCCCGCCGATAATCGCACTTATTATGCGCAGTCAAATTTTACGAGCGCATCGGTTGTTAACCAGCTATTAAAAAAAAAAATGGCATGATTCAAATTAAGACTGTACCGGTAAATAAGTGGCTTTTTCTATAGACCGATCAACACCATTCGATATTATTATACGTATCGATCCAAAAATGCGTATTACCCTTTTTTATTAACAAAGTATAATCCGATCGTGCTGTAACGTTGATTTGACAATTTTGTAAATGCAATCGAAAACATTAAACTGAATGCCAAAAACCAGATTTCGACATAAATTACCGAAATTTACATAATTATTCCAGAGGCGCCTGCAACATCCGGGCCTCCGAACTTTTCTTGGTTTTCGAGTCGAAATTCTAGTTAGCGGGTGCGCGATTTCTTTTTAAAAAGGTTAACAAGATGCTCTCGTTTGATTCGTTTTTCGTGCCGCGAAGCCTTCTTTTGTGAACGGGCGAGCTGTTAAAAAATAAACGAACTCTTTGTTTCTCGGGGAGTCGGACCGACCTCCGACGCGGTCCCTGCTTTTTTATGCCCCCTTATAACCTGTGTAATACCTACGTGTAGGTATCTACAGTTTTTATGGTCGCCCGGTCAGTTCTTCAATGGCCTAAGGAATTCGATCGAGTCTCATTGTTCATCTTAAATATCTCCACGTATCGCTGTTTGAAGGCTACAAAGAGGATATCAATTACTTGCCGTCCTTTCAGAAAAAGCTCCCGTTTGTTTTAATTAATGTCAAATAAATCCTATTTAAAAACATAAACGTTTTTAAAAGTTCCTCAGCGCCATTATGAAAAAGAAAATTGACTATCATTAACTGAAATGTTTATTTTTTCAAAAAAAAGTATGTAATTCTATTAAATACATACTGTTTTAGAATTAAATTCACATCCTTACGTTTCAGTTTTTTCTAAATATTCATGCGACGTTAAATCGTGATGTTATTCAAAATGATTCAATTAATCCCCTATTTTTTCATTCTATCTTAAATGTGATCTCAAAGAAAATATTTGTCCCACAGTGACTCCACGTCTTTTACGAGCTGACCTGTTATTTTTTTTACATGAACTTTTGACGGAACGGTCTCGCGGTTGCTTTTGACCGGCGCACTAATAAAATGTTATGATCGTGTGTTTAACGCGTGTTGTGTGTGTCGGGCCTTCCTTTTGACATGATCGTTATTGCCCCTCTGCGGTCTTTTGTACCTTCAATAGTTACAACATTATTATCGTGTCAATTTGAGGGCAATATAAACCGAATCACGGCTAGTTAAAGGTTCGATACTTTTTTGTTTATGCAAATCGTGATCGTGTGTTGAGATAGGATCGTATCGTTTTCTCTTTCGCTCGTAAGCTGAGGGCGGCATCGGGACTTCACAGGCTCTAGTTAAATAATAAGCGGCAAGGCGCCCTGTAACTATAATTTTCTTTTATTTGACCGCCGCTCTGCCTCCGGCTTCGGAGCGAAATCGACGCAAAACGCTAACGAGATGTAGAAAAAAAATACACGCACACATTATTATATGGTTTCGTTGTGTGAGTGTGTATTGATGAATTTGACTTTGGGCACATCTTGGGTTATTTTCGACCGTTCCCACACGTTAATCAAGTTATGTGGAATCCCAACAGAATTAAGGTTGTTCCTTATTCTAATTGTAACGTTCCATGAACAAAATTAAATTTTAACTAATATTTTTACAATCTTCATATTTTGTTAGTTTGAAAATGATGACTTAATCGTTTATATTGTGGAGAATGTGATAACGCTACGAGATGGATTTCTGTTTATTTCACGAAGATTTCGCAGTAAATAATTATGTTTTCCTTAAACAATGTCGATGATTGCATTGTACATTTTAGCACAAATAACTGAACAGTTTATGTCATTAGTCACATCTAGACGCAACACTAATGATTCATACGTAGACTGAAAAAATAACTTTCTTACTGAGTAATGAAATTTTTTGGCTGATCAAATAATGTAAGCGGCATCGTTTATAATAATAATACCTTTAAATTTTTTTCATGGTAAAAAGACCTAAATTGTTCGTTCAATAAATATTGTTGGGTACATATAATTATCGAGCTGATTACAGCACTTGAACTTTAAAATACTTCTTACATCAGTTATAAGCAGAATCGATCTACATATTACATATACACGTGTAATGATATTTATTCATTGCATTATTCGCTGGACATTCGCACGAGTGTTTCCGATAATTCGATTTATCGTCACGGGAATGTGATCGCGTAATCACCATATTTGTTTCACATGATGCTGATTAATTAATTATCTATATTAACGTAATATTTTCTTTGCCTAAACACAGGAGTCGTTTACGTTTTTAAGCGAGCGCGAGGTAGACGAATTTCCTTGGCCAATTTTCAATGAAACACTTCATCCAGTTTTGCATTTAAATAATTGGATAATTTGGATACTTTAATTGTATATTTAAATTGGAAACGACAGATGCACGCAGAGTACACCCGTAACTTAATGAAAAAACACGTCAATCACACATCAAATTATTACCTTTAAAGTATATAATGTATTCGATTTTAATGAGTCAAAGTTTATCGTCTCGTTAAATGTATCCACAATCTATAGCACTCACAAAGCTGGCAACTGCCAGTGTGCCTTCTCACACAGACAGATGTGGCAATTTAAATGGTATTTAAAAAAAAATTCAACATACATATTTACATTTTATTCAAACCGACCATTAATCTCATTATCACCGAGAACTCTAAACTATTAAATTATTCAAATAGTTTTTAATGCAAAAACTTGTCCATTAGATATTATCCAATTACGACGCAGTGAAGTTAAGTAAAGTGTGAAATACAAAAAGCGTCGGTCGATCTTAACATTCAGAATGCATTACAAAATTTATAACATACCATGTAAGAATTCGATGACATTTTAAACGAGTTGCCTTAATAAATAAATAAAACGGTACACCATTAAAACTTGATAATCAAGTGAAAATTTATAATTCACTTCCTTCCTGGACTCAAACAATGCAGCCTTAGAGTTATTATAACTGAACGCGAAAGCGTTTCGACCGGTTATCGAAATACAAAAAAAAAAAAAAGCTTGATACGATTTCGTTATCGATAACAGAAAAAAATCGTGTTAGTGATTCACACAAGTTCAGTGGACAATTAGCAAAGGCTGTCCACCTTTGGGCCGAGTTGTATTTATTCATCGGATGTTTAACGATTACCATAATCGATAACATCGCGCGTGCCGCATACGGAACAAGCTCTCGAGCGTTCATTCAATCAGATGCTACAGAAAAAAAATATATAAACGTGCGCTTTCATTGAAAAAGACAAGACCGAGTATAATAGAGTCGATTTCACGAAGGAAAACGAATGTCCACGAATAGGGTTGAAACTCGACGATAACGACTTAAAAATTTATAAAAATCCATGATCAAAATTATTTAGCTTTTGTTTCGGTTTTATAAGCTTCATTTGTAAATAATAAAAATGTTACTTAATAACAATTTCATTTTTCATATATTAAAAAAAAAAATTTTTTTAGACGTGAATTATTATTAAGTTACATTTTTAGAGTTGGGGGTACTCAAAATGATAAATAGTTGTTAACACAGTATTGATTAATACTTTTTCTTTTACTTAGGATACGTCAACGTTTGCGCGGCGGTTTGCCTGTTATTACTTGTCGGGGGTCTCACGCCACAGTCTTCAGCAGCACCTCGTAGAAGCCGCAGCACAATGCAACGACAAAAACGTGCAGCTGATACATCTGAAAACTACCTGTGGAGCAACCCTTGTGACCTTAATAACCTTACTGTAAGTATATATATCTTTCATAGTATTTTAGTTACGACAAAAATTTAGAATTAAATTAGCATTCTACATTCGACGACTTTAAGGAAAGATTTGCTCCTGTCTTATCGGTACCAGAAACACACAGGATGAGAAAATAGAATATGTACCGTATTATGTCACTATGTATGAGAAGATTGACTTAGTATATTCTCTTTTGTTAATTACGAATATGATATAAAGGTATAAGTTAAGCGGCTCGGAGGCTTGGAACTAGAGGTAGACTCTAGGTCAGCGGTCGGGGAACCGGAGTAAATTACCCCAAATGGGGTAAAATGAAATTTTGGAGGGTAAAAATGAAACTATTGTGAGTAAAAAGTATATATTGAAGTGAAACTTCTTTAGAATAGTTGTGATTTCAAATTCGATGAAAGCCATGTGGTAATATCAACTTACACAAAAATATTTTGGGGTAATACTTAAAAAAGTTCCCCGACCGCTGCTCTAGGTCGTACACCTAATAACAGTACAGTAAAATTAAACTATTAAACTCATTTGAAATATAAGTAGTTCCTCTTTAAGTTTAAAGATGATTTTTTTCGTTCACGTTATAATCGTCAATCTTTGCAGACAGTCAATGTACCAGATCCAAAAACAGTCGCGCCGAAGCTCATCGCGCAGGCTACGAGCGCCTACAGGTCGGCAACTAAATACAAGGATACATTGGTAAGTTTAAAAAACATTCTTCGTTTTCATAGACTGATTCAATGGCATACTAGTTAGCTTCCCAGATTTCTAGACCGATGGTCGTGGGTCCGATTCTCACATCGGGCATACAATTATGTGATTGCTTGCTCTGTATTAATAATTGGGTAATTTGTCTAAGCGTATATGAGCATGTAAATCAGTCTCTATTTCCTGTAGTACAGGGAATACTAAATTAGTTAGATGACCGTATGTGACTTGTCTCCGGTTATTATTTTTATTCACTGACGCAGTTTGGCTCTGATTAATGTATTTAACATTTTGTATATACATATTTATCACGACAATGGTTTGACGAGGCGGCGTCAATTAGAAACTACTGACTGTAACTATACTGAGACTATACTGTTACTATACTGAGACCTTAGAACTTATGTCTTAAGGTGGGTGGCGCACTTACGTTGTAGATGTCTATGGGCTCCAGTAACCACTTAACATCAGGTGGGCTGTGAGCTTGTGCAGCCATCTAAGCAAAAAAAAAAGCGAACGTATTCGAATTTATAAATGAGCGAGTAATTGAAGCTTATTAGAAAAAGTCGCATTACTGTACACGCTGTTACCTACGGCGCAATGACGAGACGCGCGCGTAGTATTTGCGGCCGAATCTATATGCCCGCCGCGTCGCATTAAATGAACGGACGAAGCTCGCGGCCGACCATTACCAATAAAACTTAGTCAACGTCGTCGCATGCCTTCGGTGCTCATTTGCACGCAGATATTATTGATTTATGTACGGGAGATGGTACTTTTCCAAAGGCACCGAACAACTCAAAGTAGGACGTCCTGTGCACCCTTTCGATTCATGAATAATTCTAGAACTAAATAGATTATTTATGGGAAAGTTTAAAATCGACACATTATCATCAATTTTATGGTTATGATTGATTGAGTATCCGGGTAATAAATTTTCAATTCGCCATTGTTATCGTGTTGGCGTTGTGCATAATATGGCTTTCGTTTGTGTCAAAGAAGTCTCCAAAAAGTTTGCATTCATATTCTTGTATAAGCGATTATAGATAAATAAAATGTACAATGAAATACTGGTTGTGAGATAGTCAATGACACCATTAAATTGAAATAATCACCGATGTTGAGGATTAAAGAAATCTCCATTGGATCGGTACACTGACTTGTTGTATCCATCCATCGCAACGTAGTTTTATGTTTCATGAGACGATTTAAATCGGTGTCCTATATGAGGCAGTCAGCGCAAAAGTGTCCTAAGCTTATCATATTTAGTATGGATATAATTAGGTTAGCAAAAATAATGTTTAAAAAGCCATCTTTTCTCTATGGGTGAGACTATGGATAGACCGGATTTGCATCAAAATTTATTATGTTTTAAATAAATTGCAACATATAAGCGCGAATATGAAAAATGTTGGGCTAGGCCACTTTTGCACTGACGGTCTCATATAGCTTGAGTAGTAAAATGTTGCAAATGTAAAAAAATGGCCTGTTTAAAATTCAACGTGTACACGTATTTTGGTGTGGTTTTCTCACCGTTGCGAGCGATGCAGTTCCGAGATTGCGAGCGTCGCTGTCTTGCTCGCACGTCCGGTCCGGCTGCGGCCGTTTCCTCCCTTTTCAATTATAATTTCGCATTATACTACTGTCACGTTAAAACGACTATCGGCGACAAACTTTATTTTACTATTTTTTTTTCCTACCTATACTGATAGCCTTGAGAGGCTATTTCAGCTTCGCCCAACGTGTAGGTGAGCTAACGGTGCTCAAACCGGAGTGGTACTAACACTGCCCCTAGCAAGAGCAGTGCTTCGTAGAATCTTCCGCCGGATCGGAAACGCGACCCACTGAGAAGATCCGGGGTGAAACTCAGTGGGCTGATTTATTTTACGAAAATTAGTTTAAAAAATCGTATTACTCCTAATATTGTAAAAGACTAATGCGACTCTCGTTCACAGAGATTTTAAGAACCTTGCGTAATTTGATATTTCATTTAATAATAATTTTAATTAGAACGGCGAAAGAACTGAATAGATTTAATATTATCAACCTCAGTTTTAATAACTTGTTATTATGTTAAATGTCAAAGTCTCAAATGCCTTTTTTTAAATACATCATAAAATGTTCAAGCCAGAAATTTAACTAAATAAAAATGGTCTAGCTTTAATACGCATTTTCAAGATTTATTGAAGTCTTATTTCAGGGCCACACAAAGATCGCAGACATTTCAACCTACATTCATGAATTCGTAAAACATTCACGAATTTATTAGAAATAAGCGTTCAGCATTTTAATACAACGATTCATATGAAAGTTCTACGATTCTGATCCGAGGAATATAATAATTTCCGAATCGGAAGTAAGGTGGACCGATCAACAAGAAATAATAACGTGTCGATGTCGCGCCTCGAATCGCTTATGGACGCTTCTTCACCACGAACTGTGATACGATAGCGAGACAAAGCTCGAAGCGTTTACATTTCGGCGATTGTATTGATATTAGATCGATTGAACGGGTACGCGGCCGTCGATGGTATCGGAACAATGAACGATTTTATGATGAATGTATCGAGTTATCGGCGGCGATGTTCGCGCAGTAGGTATGGTAGCATTGTAATAGGCTCGACGGTCGTAACGACGGCGACGTCCTGTTCGCTGCCTCCTCGTAAAACGACATTATCGACTCACAGTAGCCGGAACGAGGTACAGGACGGTGCGCATACGCGTCGAATACTGATTGCGCATTAGTATTGCGCGACACACCTGCCCGACGATTTTTTTCTGTCTCTCCCCATAATATCGGTCATTCGTTACTAATGTCTCATATTTATTGCGATTTAGACATAGGCCGGTGACGATGAACCACCATTGTTGCCCACGTTACAAGGACGTTTACGTCTTCTTTGTTTGATCTCCATCGGTTACCACCCGAAATTTCGTAGTTAGCATATTAGGCGTGCAGTTTGCTTCGCGTTTAAATTGTGCTTTAATTTAAAAATTGTAATAATTTATCATAAATAAATCAGACAGTCACACCTGTCGTCAAGCCCATTCCGTATAAATAATAACTGGCCGCGTCGTACTAAGAACGCAATAACAAATTCAACGAACTCTACCGGTACTGTGTGACTGGCCACCGTGTGAATGTGTCATAACACTCAAGCTTTTGACTACACCGGTGTCACGTTATCGCATCAGATTTTCGACAGCGGAATCCAGTTCGCTTCCTTAAAACGTCCCCCGAGTAATTTTGAAGGTAATTACTATAAACGAAGGTAGCGCGATTCAAAGTGTGTAATCCAATCGCGCGACTTGATTTGACGCGGCGCGCCTCACCCCGTGTCGCAGTTGAACACGTTTTGATTACTGCTTATGCGACGATAATCATTGTAATAGTGTCGTTATATAAGCATGAATTACAAAGCTATATATACGTGTACGTACATAGCGCGATAGTGTTGTTCACACGGCGACATGCTGTCTGCAGTGTTGGATGTGTACGTGTGTCGTAAATATATCAATGTGACGCGTATGTGTGGGTGAATGTTTATTTGATAAGCTTCCGATGTTTCGAGCTAGACATTCGGATGCTAAGTCATCGGATACCTTACTTGACTGCCCACCCACGGTCATTTTGAATATATATTTCTATTATATAATCGATTCCCGCTCTATATATATAGAACATATTAGGTCGGCTATCAATACTCGAGTTTGTTAATAGGGCTACCTATTAACAAACTCGAGTATTCTCGAGCCGTCAGCGACATGTTTTAAAATATATTCGTTTTACATTTCAAAAACAAAAAAATGTAAAAATACCGTCTTTAAAATGAATATCTGGTAGAGGTATTCATTTATTAATTTCAATATGATTCCTAGTAGCATTTTATGAGATGTTAGCGATGTGTTATTTACGCATTTATGCCATGCTTAAGCAACTAAAAATCAAATTCCGAATTAATAAAATAAAAATTACATTTCGAATATTCAAAAGTAAATCCGAGAATGCGCTAACAATTCATAAGCAAAATATTACGATCTCATTGCTCGCTGTAGGTAGATTTCGGACATGGCGTGATGGACCGGACGCGCACCTGTGTATTTAGACCGCCACTGACTACATAGCACATTCCATCTCCTTGCCATGTCAACTACATACATACATACATATATGTATATACTTATGTACGCTTTATTGTTTTTGTCTGTTCGCAATATTCTGTTTGCATTAGCTGTTCTCGTTTGTTTTTTAGTTTTTGTTTTTATCTTGAAAAGCAGATGATCATAGCTCACTCGAAGGTGAGGGATCACCGTCGCTCATAGTCGCCAACGATGCCAGAGTCACAGTCATGCGAGTACTTATAACCACTAAGCAATCTTTTCAAATTTCATTTTTATATTTCGTAAATTTTAATTAAATCTCCGTACAATGACTAAAATGAAAGCTCTTAGTATTAAAATTTACTCTAAAGGCTCGTATTACGTGAATGTGCCAATATTTTTCAACGAGCTTGTATTAATTCCCTTAAGGTCGGTATTTAACAAACGCTCGGCTAATACGTTTGTCCATCCAGTTACCTCATATCAGATTATTTCGAACATAATAATCGTAAATTCACTTCATTACGTCTATTATCAACGCGTTTTACATTAACCGGTATCTCAATTTCGATCGTACAAATTAATTTTTGTGCGACGCTTTTGAAAATTTCAATTGGTTTCCGAATATCGAGATGTCCGTTCGCGATAGCATTATTGCACAATGCGGCGTTTGCGGGGGATTGTCGCCTTTCCGAAATCGATTTTAATTAATCGGTATTGTTGGTGTGGAATGTTTTCAAAGATGGGGATGGCGTTCGTTACATCTGCCGCTGACCGTTTGATTCGCATTCGATTTTTTTTTAATTTTTTTTTATCGAATGTCTCCGCTTTCGTTCAAACTTCGAACGCGTATCGCAGTGCACTCCCGACGAATGTCATTTATTGATTCGTCACCGACTAATTTTAATATCGATTTCAGTCTCAACTTACAGGCGACCTTCTTATAAATAATCTATGCGTCGGTTCGTGTGACGCTATTAAGAACATGGAACCTTAATACACCGATGTACTTATTTTTTATAAGTATCGGACAGTACAATAAGAGAACCACGGGGTCTTTGGGTCAATAATTAGCTGGCTTAAGATACCCTCGTTTATTGAATAGATGATTATCTCGCATCTAATGTCCACTCTACCGCGAACCTTCACTCTTAAGCAGCATCATCCAATTAAAGACTAAACTAATTTGGTCCGTTCTTCAATCCTAGTATACACGCTTCTGATTTCTAAGAACAATTTGCGACTGGTAGTGAGTGCGTGTGGGAGTTTAATTTGATATGCTCTACTATTTATAAGAGATTAAAACGCTATGACAATTATTTACCATTCATTGGTTCAAAAATGTTTTTAATTCAATAATTATCTTAATAAGACATAGTAACCAATTTTTGACCTACATATATGAACTAAAACTATTCAAGAGCGGTATATGGGTCGCGACCGTCTGGCGTCTAGTGCGAAGTGGTTACCAGAGATAAGTATCAACAACAATAAAAAAGAACACGTGCTTTTAATGGCAGAAATATGCAGAAAATATAATTTCCTATTCCACTCCCTATAACAAAACACATTGCTTCTTAGAGACAGTACCTAATTAGCACATCGATCTTGTTATCAAATCGAATATAGCTCGTCCGAGTCGGGAAAGTCTTGCGAGAAGTAGCTTCCGGTGTGTCGCCCTTTTCTACGAAACTCAATGAATTGTTATATTAACATAATATTCTATTTTCATCTCTCATAGAATTGAACGGGACTAAAAAAAACATTGATTCATTAGGATACTCTTATACGATATATATTTTTTTATTGCTTAAATGGGTGGACGAGCTCACAGCCCACCTGGTGTTAAGTGGTTACTAGAGCCCATAGACATCCACAACGTAAATACGCCACCCACCTTGAGATATAAGTTCTAAGGTCTCACGTATAGTTATATATAACCGTGATTCTTGTATTATACATATATATATATATTTTACCATAGAATTATGTTTGAACGACTTTCTTCTACTGAATATGTTGCATTAATATTTTCGTGACTCACATTATGTTGAATTGAACGTAGTTATCAGTTATAATTGTTATATTTCTTTTGTTACAGGCGTTGCAACTGCACAGTTTCCAGAGCTTCGACGAATTGATAACCCAATGGGTAGGAAACGAGTGGCTTAGGAAGTTTTCGTTCTCTGCAGAGGTGCTGCCTAAAGATAAAACACTTTATAAGGAGGCATCGGAGGAACAACTTGAGAGTTTAATGGTAAGTTGTATTTTTTTTTTATTCTCGGTCTCGGTCGTACCTCTACACTATTGTAGAGATGCCTGTGCATACCATACGATGATGGAGGAAAGCAACGTCTAAGTCGTGTCCTGTCTCTGCTGATGTCCATGAGGTTGAACCGTGGCCACCGAAACCAATGAACTGATTCCAGGATCAAAAATACGTTATCCACTAAAGGATGCATTCTTAGAGCCTTTCTTCTTACTGGTGGTAGGACCTCTTGTGAGTCCGCACGGGTAGGTACCACCGCCCTGCCTATTTCTGCCGTGAAGCAGTAATGCGTTTCGGTTTGAAGGGTGGGGCAGCCGTTGTAAATAAACTGAGACCATAGAACTTATATCTCAAGGTGGGTGGCGCAATTGCGTTGTAGATGTCTATGGGCTCCAGTAACCACTTAACGCTAGGTGGACTGTCAGCTCGTCCACCCATCTAAGCAATAAATAAAAAGAAGCCTGATCTGTGTGAGAAAGAGGAATAGAGTTGAGCACAGCAAAACTGTTTAGTACACAGTTGGAAGACAGTTGGGTTCTCGTATTGCACAGCCCAAGAATCAAATAAGTAGCCGATAAAGTTTTACGGTCATGAACGGGGTCATATTGTTGTTACCTAAACGAAAACAATGATCGGAGAGCGATGTACGTATTCGCTGATGTCAAAAACGTGCATCCGTATGTGTTTTTCGATCGATTTCAAAGAAACGACATCGTCGGTGGCACTCATTGTTGTCCGCCGGCCATCGTTTACGTGAGAACCGTAATATTTCGCAACCATATTAACGTAACCGTCGCGTCGGGCGCAATCGAACTCCTTCAGAAAGATAATCGACGAACTTTAAACGTATTATCTTTTACGTATTTGTAAATATATATTTTTGCATTTGTAAATTGATTGATTTTTCGTCATTGTCTTTAATTGCAAAAAAAAAAAACTTATCTTAGGTTACGATATCATTTGCGATAGAGCACGTATTTTTTTTTTTTTCGCTAATTTGTTAATTCTTGCTTTGTTCTGTCTTCAGGGTAACATCGATACTGTTCTTCCATCGATGTACAAAGCTCTAAAACTGATAGTGGCTGGTTTGCACGCGTTCTCTAACGGTCTCAACGACAACATCATAGCTGACGAAGCTTTGAAGGAGAACACCAATCAAACTATGCACGATGTTCGAGCTGTTCTCTGCTACTTTTCTGTGAGTATGGTTATCTATATATTAATACGTGAAGCAAAAATGTTGTACCCCTTTTTACGAAAATCCCGAGGACGGAGGAATATGAAATTACCCACACTTAGAGAGAATATAGAGAAGGAGTACACAATGCTAATATTTTTTTACAATTAGGCATTAAGAATACATTAAATCAATAAAACAAATATTACACACACTACCATGTATTTGACACACACGCACGCGTATTTATACTGTTTTGTTTATTGTTTAATTTTCTGTGGTCAAATTGAGAATAGATTAGTATTTAGTAGTCTTTAATATTATTTGTCTATAGTGTACTATTGGCGACATCTGTGATTATAGAAGTTTAATAGTATTTGACAATAAAACCATCATAATGGTCAAACTTATAGTTTAAATTAGTAATTATAGTCTAATTTCGACTACTAGGGAACCACTAGTGAGTTATAATTTTGTCTACGTTGTTCAGATGAATTGCGTATATTCAGACGTTTCTTTTAGATTTTTCATAGCATTTTAAGTTACTTGAAAGAAATATTTTTATTATATAAATGAAAAAGTTATTTTGAATTTCAATACGTACTAATTTAACTAACGAATACAATATAATTTTGTTGCAGGACATTATGAGGGCGCGAAATCTTGAACTCATTCCACTACCTGAGTCTGAGGTTCCGGTCATACCATCGGATAATATGGTGACCGACGGACTTCTCATCTACAGAGACACTCTCAACTATTTGGAATACTTGAGACAAGTCTTCAAGAAGCTGTATGGTTAAATCGTTTGAAAACTCATGACTGGCCAAGAGGCTGCCAATGAAGAGTGCTTCCTCCTGGCTTTCCACGGCTATCGTACTTATTCTTTGGTGCTTAATAAACTTAACAACTATACTCTTCAGTTGGCGTATAATGTTGGGTTATTAATCTCATTGTAGTTAAATTATTCGCACCTTTAGATATTTTAGCTTATGAATGTAGTAAAAATGTCATTGCCATTACTTTGCCATTTTGGTCTAGATCGAAACAGTTCCTTTGTTTTTTGTGTAAATAGTGACGAATTTAAAAATAAAAAGTATGTGTATTATTTATTACGTGCAGCGAATTAACTTTCTAAATTTTCCGATTATCCTAGTCAAGGTCTAACTTATTTATTTGGCGCTTAAATTCCACTTTAGTTTCGGTTTTTTTATTTTTTTATGTATATATTATTTAATTTAGATTTTAATTTCCCCGTCTTTAGTGTTGTGAAACGTATTTTAAATGTGCTAATCGATAGTTTATATTATCATAGAGTTTATATTATCATAGAGTTATGATAATATAAACGATATATATGAGATAGTTTATATTATCATAGAGACTTACTGTACGGCATACGTTCAAGCAGCCTTGATTGTAAAGTTTGGAGATTTAAGTGGAAAATACGTTTCATGAGCACTCCGAAGGCAGGGTGGTGGTAAGGCCCAATCATTCCGTGGACGTTGATCGACGACAATGTTGGTCAAATTGTTTTGTTGGCCCGTGCCTGTCTCTTGTGAAGAATCATGATTGTGAAATTCGATAATTAATTCTATCGAAACTAACATTTATTGCTACGACCACAATAAAGTCGAGGCTACATTACTCTGTGAACTTACCTTTTAATTGTATATTTTAATTCCTAATTTCACAGTATTACTTGACACTTTGTTAACTATTTATACTGTTACGGAAATCCAATCAAATGTGTCGTCTAGCTTTAATAGAGCTGTTAATTATATAATTGTAAAGTACAGTGCCAGTGTATTTATGACTTAATCATTATTTGTACAGTTCAAATGGTACTTATTTATAACTGGTGCAAACACTTGGGATTTCTGTGTTTGTGAAATTAAATTATTATTGCATTTATATGTGTTTTTTTTTCTCCATTGAATCCCTCACATTTTCGATTGTAACGTCATATTTTTTCCACAGAACACTTTGATACGTTACCGACAACTACTCGTAAACGTTAAGAAGTTTCTTAATTTAAGCAAAGCATAGAAAATTACAAAAATGAAAATTGAAAAGGGAAACATGTACTAAATGTGTACAATTAAGTAAAAATAAATTATGAACATTGCACATGCACTTAAAAAATTACCACTTTATATCTTAGCTTCTTTTGCTTTCAAAACAAATACAAAAGGCAACACTAAACTTTGTTCCCATGGAACGTATGGAAACAATTTCACGACTTTACACAAGACATTCACGACCTCATATTTGCGTTGGTGACTTAGTCGCCCTGACAAATTAGTGACTCTACGACGGGAACTCTGAAAATACTAACAAAAAAGATTACAACAAATTTTATTCATAACTCGCACAAGCAAAAGTAGATTTTATTGCGTAGCCTTAAAGCTTGAAGTCGATGGATTCGCTTGGTCTTGTTTAGTTCTTGGGGTGTAAGCTTTAGCTACTGATCACGACCTCTCAAACGTCCCCGCTCTATTTACTTAATGTGTTAGTGATGACGAGGTCATAATTTGTCGTCGGGAGTCCACTAGGTGTAAAATTTGGTTTGTGGATTAAGCGGGAGAATCAAAGTGTACTAATTTGGCCCCCTACATTGCGACAGTTCTTTGAAGGATGTATGCTGTTAACTACGTTTGAATGATTGAGATCTCCCAGGAGTAAGCAAAGCTAACATTTCTGTGGATCACGACCAAAAGCTTTTTTTTAATAGGCCGTAACGCTTACCAACACATGGATCGTACTGTGATTAATAGATGGAGATTTCTAGGCCATCTCATAGTCCACGTAGTGTTAAATGGTAGCCCAGGGATCGCTACATCAATATTGCCATATACTTTGGCAGTCGTAGTGGGCTGTGATTTTTATTTTCTTATACTCGTACATATAAAATTAATACAACTTTAAGAAAGTAATTTAAAAGAAAAATTCACTTAAGCTATTTTTAGTGTATATAAAAATATAGATTGAAGTATCTGTTCGAACAAAGTAAACGCAAGCGAAATGACTTGATTTGAAGATAACAAAGGCCAAATATAGTTTTAAATAATTAGTAAGTAATTAACAAAGTAATTAAGTAAAGTAGTCAATATTTAATTCTTCATTAAAGTTTTCAGATAGCCTACTTCCCAAAATGGTTTTTAATCAATGAAAATTTTACAAAAGGTGAATGCCAATTGTGTTGGTTGCCAATGGTTGCCTAATACTTAAAACTAGAACGCATGATTGATTCGTAGCAGAAATAGCCAGGATGGCGGTACCTACCCGTGCGGACGTACAAAAAGCCTTACACCAGTATTTATTAAAATTAAAAAAAGGTGTGATTCGATTATCTTAATAGGACCTTTTACATTCCGCAATTATTATTTAAAAATTTCCAACCAATAGACGGACGGAATTACTATATGTATACGATTACGTAGAACATACAATAACCATCATACCAAGAACGCTTCAAACTATACTCTTTAATAATGAATCATTACATTCGCACTGCAACATTAATATTTGAATGTGTGTTTCCCTTTTATTTTTATAACATTGAAATAATTATAAAAAAAGATGAAACGAATTCATTTCGCGATAACTTGAGTGAACTGTCAATTTATAGAATACAGTTATAAAATAAAAACATTAATTACTAATCGAATTTTGCCTTAATAATTTAATGATGATCAATCACTTGTGGTAAAACCTATTTACAAATTAATAGGCAGCACCATCTTACCGATTTCAATCAGCCGTACTTTCAATTAGAACACCAGTTAAACGCAGTTGTGTCTTCGACGCCAAATATTAAAGAGTGCAAAAAGCTTCATAAATAGGTACATTTACCGTTAGAACGTTGCAACATAATTGATATGTGTCAAACATAAAGAAAAACATTACTATTGAAAGACTCGGACCAATGAAACACGTCGAAAGTAATTTTACGAGGCACTTTTCTCTCACGCACCCTCTCCATCGAACCCTAAAAAGGGCACGAAATATTTTCACATTCGTTTAACGATCCGTAGCGGGTCACAATGGTGTTTGGGGCGCACCGAGCGAGCATGCAATCTTTATCTCACTCACGTTCCCTTGTTTTATTTATTAGAAAGATTTATTATTTACCACGCGGCTCGCACACGATGGGTCACGAATTTGGAACGAACAAAAAAAATCCTGGTTATGTTAATGCGCGAACCGTTTGCACGTGACAATCTTTTTTTTGATCATCCAACTTACATGAATTAACTTGTAAGTTTCCTGTTACAGTTCGAGAGGAGAAACTGTTGGCGGCTGAACCCAAAGGCTTGACCCTGATTTGTGGGAGCTGATATCGTTATATTGTTTTTCAAGATCACGAACTTATTGGGCTCCAACATTTCAGTAAAGTTCTTTATATCTGGAATTAGCCGCATTAATTCGACATATCTTCTACTTCTAGAACGACTGACACTAATTACACAGCAATTTTAAAACAAAATTTTCATGTACATTACTGATGGTATTTTTTACAAGCATCGCATTTGATTAACCTGTTCAATAAAGTCGGTCAGTCCAAGTAAAATACTGCTATGCTTGTCTTAAGGGTGTACTAGTTAGTACTACTAGTAATAATGTATATTATTTTACTCGCAGGATAGCCGCTGTTCAATGCATTTAACAATTTGATCTGATGTCTCAAGATGGTTAGGTATCCTCACGCACTTCATTACCCAGATTCATTCGCGAAGCAGCTGTCCTTGAGTTGATAGATCTCCTCCGTTGGTACTCGGACAGCTGTTAGCAAATTCCACCCCTCCTGGCTGAGCTCGTGTTCGTCTACCTGTTCTGCAGAAACTGAAAAGTCCGGGCTATCAGTAATCCTTGCTTCACAAAAAAATGGTCCGTATCTATTAAACAGTTGGTGGGCCAAGAGCCATAATTAGGTCGTCACGTAATAAGTACCTCCGATATTTTTGCGCATAAATACGAGTCTTGTGATTAAGTCACACTTGACCTACGATTAACCACACGTCTGCCGTGACCGAGTAGACAAACAAACGCACAAAAGAAAAGTCAAAGACGACGTACGATCCTTGTTTGACAGTATCCGTGTACACTGCGAGCCCTTTCGCAAATATCGGCATACTTACGTCATACAAATGAAGTAAAGATGTTTCCCCTATTTACTTAACATAAATATTTTAATTATTTGTTTTCTATAAATTCGTGGCTTAAGTATTCACCTCGATGACATCCTTAATAATCTGATTTAGGTTTAATTAAGTTGCAAGAACGACGGTGTGCTTCATCAAAGTAGGTTTGGATAGACGACTCAGTGGTAAGCAACGCTTTGGTTGTATCCCTGGCATTACTGCCACCAATGGGTAACGGTAATGATTCGCCATTAGATTATTCCTATTCTCGCGTATCAAAAAATGCAATAATAAATATTCTATTTTTTTTTATTAGTTCCCTTGTTATTATTTCCTAATTTGAGTAAAGACAAAACGACAGGTTACTTAAATCAATCTAAATGGGTATGTAACCGCGTCCTATGTATAGTTATATGCAATCTCTATTAGCAATGCCCTCAATTTCTCTACATTCGCTCCATAATTATTCTCACTATAGGTATCCTATCTGAAATAATAGTAGGACATATACATATATCACTTGATAGTGTGACCTTTACTATTTCTGACTTAAAACGATCATTTCGATTTGAAGATTTGGTAGCCGTTGTACTGATGCAGTTGTGATATTAATTAGTCGTTCTTACAATCCATTAACATTGAGTGGACCTTGAGCTCGTGTATGCCATTAAAATGAACGTCATAAAGAATGCATTCACTTTCAGAGGACGATTTCTAACAGGATCCGCATCATGCTATATTTGATAATTCAATTAAACGCCCAGACAGTGTAGCAGACGAAGTGATTGCGAACAATTAGGTATCTTTTCGTCCTCAAAGGTCATACAAGTTCCGTACAAGAGAAACAAGTGACCTCGTAGTGTATTGTATTTGAAATGCAGTAAGCGGCAGGGTTTTCCCTATTGACATAAGTCGTTTTATCTCGCACGCAGGAACGCTGCTCTCAAAACTGTGACAGGAAGTGCGGTGGATGCCTTTCTTCAGAGACTCTGAATCTTTGGTTAGTATCTCTCTTGCATTAATGATTTTGATGAAATTATGTTACTTTTACGTCTATGTTGCTATTACGCATGCAAAAGTTACTGTAAAAGTAGGTATTAAATAAATAACCGGGAATAAATCACGCACGATCATCCCCAAATTAAAATTCCCTCTGTCATGGGTCACAAAAACTGACAAACATACTATATACGTTTAAACATATACATACATATATAGATAATCAGCACCCAGATAAAGCGCAAACAAACAAACCTGTTCAATCACACGAATGTTTGCCCGATGTGGGCATTCTATTTGACTCCATACAGAGGAGGGCCGTTCGAATCGTCGATAATCTTATTCTCGCGGATCGTTTGGAACCTTTGGGTCTGCGGAGGGACTTCGGTTCCCTCTGTATTTTGTACCGTATATTCCATGGGGAGTGCTCTGAGGAATTGTTTGAGATGATCCCCTCATCTCCTTTTTATCATCACACCTCCCACCATCGGAGCAGAGTTCATCCATATCATCTGGAACCGCTGCGTTCATCGACAGTGCATTTCCAGAGGTCTTTTTTGCCACGTACCATCCGGCTATGGAATGAGCTCCCCTCCATGGTGTTTCCTGAGCGCTATGACATGTCCTTCTTTAAAAGAGGCTTGTGGAGAATATTAAGCGGTAGGCAGCGGCTTGGCTCTGCCCCTGGCATTGCTGAAGTCTATGGGTGACGGTAACCACTCACCATCAGGTGGGCGGTATGCTCGTCTGCCTGCAAGGGC